ATAGATCCAAGGTTATTAGGGTTGCATGTACACTTAGGAAGTGTTAGAATGCTCAAAACCCATCACTTACCTGCGTCATTTGTTGGTGGTCCGCGCTATATGTATAGCCATTATCAAGATGCATTGTCGATTTGTAGAGTTTTTGGGAATCCACAATACTTTATTACATTTACGTGTAATGTCAAGTGGCCCGAAATACGTCGCTATATGGATGATCATGGCCAGCGAGATACTCATAGTAGGTTTGATATTATAGCTAGGGTCTTTGAAATTAAAGTGGGCGCTTTCATCAACTTTCTGAAGGAGGATAAAACTTTTGGTGGCGTTGAAGCATGTATGTATTGTTCTCATATATGTTAGATTTATTTCTGTTCCTGTCTATATTTTATACTAATATGTTATATTTTTTTTAATACGTAGACCTCTATACCATACAGTTCCAGAAAAGAGGTCTACCATATTGTCATACTTTATTGTGGGTTGTGAAGCCTGATAGGATTAAAGATGCTTCTGATATTGATAGATACATATCTGTAGAGCTTGCTGATCCAACGCTTGACCCACTTCTTTATCAGATAGTCACGAGTACTATGATTCATGGTCCTTGTGGGTTACTAAATAGGCAGGCTCCATGTATGCAAGATGGTAATTGTTCCAAGCATTTCCCCAAACCTTTCAATGAGGTAACATTATTTGATAAAGATGGTTACGCGCATTACAAAAGAAATTTTGTTATGCGTCATACGATACAAAATGGAGTTGTTGTTGACAATGGATACGTTTTTCCCTATAACAGAAGGTTATGTTCTCGGTTTGCTGCCAATATAAATGTAGATTATTGCGGATGGAACATGATGATTAAGTATTTGTTTAAGTATATCTCCAAAGTGTTTAATGTGTTGTCATCCGGAAATCTGAATCGTCTGGTTCCCCTGATTTAGGTGACAACGTTCTGCCTTTAAATGAAATACAAAACTTTCTCGATGGCCGATACATTTGTCCCCATGAGGCTGCATGGATAATTCTGAATTTTTTCATTCATCTTCGCCACCCGCCAATACAGGTGTTACCTGTTCATTTGGAGCACATGCATCATGTACTATTTAGAGAAGACAGCAGATTAGATCAAGTTCTTCAAAATCCAGGTTTTGCTAAGACACCACTTATGGGATGGTTTGATAATAATGCAGCAGATCCAAAAGGTTGTGATCTTACTTATATCGATTATCCAAACAACTATAAGTGGGACAAGAGATCTAAAGTATGGGGACGCAGGATTTTAGATTCTTCAAAAACAGTTGGTCGTCTTGTATTTGTTCATCCCTCTTCCGGCGAGTTATTTTACTTTTGTATGTTACTTAGCCATCAAAAAGGATGACTTCTTATGAAAATGTCCGTACAGTTCGCGGTCATGTTCATCCAACATTCTGAAGTGCATGCAATGCTCTAGGATTGATAGGTGATGATGTGGAGTGGATGACTGCCTTTACCGAAGCTTCTCTTTGGGCTACGTCTTCCCAATTAAGATCTCTTTTCTGTCACCTGTTATTATTTTGTGAAGCTAACACTCCTCGATCTTTATGGGAAATAGGGTGGCGAAAAATGATGGATGATTATGTACAAAAGCTGAAGATCGGACTTTCGGATGAACGCTTTCACATTAATGATGATATACTACATCAGCACCTGCTTTTTGATTTACAAAATACGTTGCAGTCTTCTACACCTTGTTGATCTTTGGTTGATTTCAACCTACCCATGCCGTCTACTGCTGGTCTTGCTGTTTTGCAAAATCGCCTGCTTTTAGAAGAAATAAGCTATGATAGGAAAGCCTTGACTAGACAGCATACTGATATGGTTCAACAACTCAATAATGACCAGCTAACAGTTTATGACACTGTTATCAGTTCGGAATTGTAAAAGAAACAACCGTTGCTTTTTGTCTATGGACACGGTGGAACTGGAAAGACTTTTTTGTGGACGACTTTGCTTTCGTACTTCAGATCGGTTGGAAAGGTTGTCTTGGCTGTTGCTGCGTCTGGAATAGCATCTCTTCTTTTGCCTTCTGGGAGAACTGCCCATTCAAGGTTTAAAATACCAATCGACCTGACAGAAAAAACAACTTGTGACATAAAGAAAAGGACGGCACTTAGAGATTTAATTAAACAAACATCAATTAATTTTTGGGACGAGGCACCGATGAGTGATCGTCGTTGTTTTTAATATCTCGATCGTTCTCTAAGAGATGTGCTTGATTGTGACACACTAACATTCGGTGGGAAATCTGTTCTCCTTGGCGGCGACTTTCGTCAAACCCTTCCAGTGTCACCAAAAAGTACACGAGCTGAGATTGTTCGTTTGAGCTTACCAAATTCATATTTGTGGCCGCATTTTCACGTTGTTAGACTACATCAGAATATGAGATTATTTACTTCTAATATTGATCTAGTTGATGGGTTGTCGATACAAGGATTTGCAGATTGGATTTTAGCGGTTGGTAATGGAGAGTTAGGGGACACAGATGTAAATGATCCATAAAGCTCAAGTTGGGTACATATACCAGACTCACTTTTAATACCTCCTGGACAAAACTCACTGCAACTTTTAATACATTTTGTGTATGAAAACGAAATGTTGCACACCCCATTACCTTCTGATCTCTCTGTTAGAGCAATAGTTTGTCCAACTAATGAAGCCGCTGATAAGGTTAACAACCTAATTATAGAAATGGCTAACGGTAACGAAAGGCTTTATAGAAGTACGAACGCCATGCAGTCCAACGGCAAGCATACATCAGAAGTAGAGGGGTTATATCCAATTGAATATTTAAATGAATTAAATTTTGCAGGGCTACCACCTCATACGCTCAAATTAAAAGTGAATAGTCCGATAATGTTATTAAGAAACATCAACCAACGAGAGGGTTTATATAATGGAACACGCTTAATTGTTTCTCAGTTAGTTCCTACTGTAATTGAGGCAACAATAATCACGGGAACATGTATCGGGAGACGAGTGTACATACCTCGGATAAAATTTATCCATAACCCAACAGATCTACCCTTTTCATTCTCACGAAAACAGTTCCCTGTCAAGGTGTGTTATGCTATGACCATAAACAAAAGTCAAGGGTAGTCTTTGAAAAAAATCGGAATTTACTTGCCTCAACCTGTTTTTACACATGGTCAGCTTTACGTAGCGTTATCTAGAGCAACATCCCCTGCTGCCCTTAGAGTTCTTATAGAGTTGAATGAACAGTGCTTGCACAATAAAACCAAAAATGTTGTTTTTAAAGATTTATTGCACATGGTGAATATCAATGAGGTTGTACTAACAACATTAAACAACTATTTATCCTTCTTATATGACATTGCTTAAACACGCTTTCTCTTCCAATATATGTTACATCACACTGATAATAGGTACATACTGACAACTATTGTTGTGATATTATTGACAGAGACAGTTCTAAATTATGACTTCCATATCAGAATTGAAGTACGCATGTGTAGGAGACGCTATACAGGTACGGATATTGCGCAGGTGGAAGCCACAGTACCGACGCCACGAAACATGGTTCCTTGATGTAGACAAGTTTGTAAGTATACATACAGTAAACTGTTACTATAACAATGTCTTCATTATCAATTATTCACATTCTTTTATTTAAAATATGTCAGGGAGATGCTATACAGATCTTGGGACAAAGGACAAATCAAGGCTATATAGAGTCTGTTCTTAATCTTTCCAATTGCTACACGATATCGGAATATACATGTCCACGATTAGATGATTACCAAAAGGTTTTAGAAAATGATATCTACATGGATGTTGGTATTGCTTCTGTTATCCAACCTATTCCAGATACAATCACAATTCCTTCAGCTTGGTTTAGGTTTGTTTCAAAAACCCAGCTTATGGAATTTGGTGAAAATCCACCATTCTGTCCAGGTACACACACTTACTATTACAAAGGAAATAAAATTGCAATATAATCATCTATACCATTAATATATGTGTTTTACTCATCACTACAGTGCACATATTTATAGAAAAATGTTTGTTGTGTACTTACAAGTTATCAATGCCTTCACTGTTTACCATGGAATAGATTTTATTGGTATCCTTACAAAAGTGAGAGATTGCAAGAAACGCAATGGGGAGTGCTTTGTCTTTATAGTACTTACCGATGAAGGGTATATAAAATACCATTACATTTATCCTTTGTTACCCTCATTCTGGCAGAATACTAATTTGTTACCTATACATTAAAACCAATGGAAGTGAGTTAGCAGTAAACTTGTGGAAAGAATGTATCGACGTCCCGGAGAAATTTAATCGTCAGCAACTAATGCCACCTCCTGCAACAACAGTTGTCGCTGTTACAAATTTGAGGACCTCATCAAACGATGGTCATACTCTCAAAATTAACTAAATATTACAAAAATTTATATCTATGTTTACACTGTTTGATCTACTTATACATATTTTAACATTTGTTTTGCATTTCCTCCAGGAATACTAAGGTTTGGATCGTCAACTGCTACACATGTGTATGTTAATCCACCTATTCCAGAAGCAACACTACTAACCAACAGGTACACAACATTTTACAAAAAAAATTGAGATTAATACCTACAAACAATATACTTCTATATGTTAAACTTATTAACAGGTTCAGTGGCCCTTCAAGACCACCTTTCATTGCATCTGGAATACCAACAACATTGTGTGAGCTCATTAATAAAACACATACATAACTTCAGGTATAAGATATAACTTTGTTATGTTACAGAACTGTTCTTTCAAAACATTACGTATATCCAACCTATAACATCTATAGGATAAAACCTTCACTGTGAAAGCGTCACTGGTGGACTTTGCCTTCAAGGACAACTGGTGCCAAGTGATATGCCCCCAGTGCAGAGACCCAATATTTGAAAAAGCAAAGGATTGGTTCTGTAGTGCCCATGGATTAACTGAAGCACCAATATTCCTGTACATGTTACTACTTCTGAATACATAAAAAAATTCACATCTGCTATACAATGATACACCATATATGAATACAGGTACAGGTTTACCGCAACAGTTTCCGACCCAACTGGCTCCATTACTTCATCTGTATCTGACAGTGCAGCCCAGAGATTGATTGGAATTACCTCAGAAAAGTTGATGTCCAATAACACCCAAATCAGTAGAGGAATTCTACCGTCCATCATCGAAGAGTGCAAAGGGTTATTAAAGGCACTGTCAATTCAAATGTTGAAAACCTCAAATGCAGACTACATCTGATACCTGATTGTAGACATAGGAAACATCGAGACCCTCACTCAACAAGCAATTCCAACAACCCCAATGGCTACTATAGACAACAAGTCCTCTGAAGCTACCCACAACATACGAACTTTATCACTACCTTCACAATCATCTAATGCGTCGAAAGCTTTATCATTCGAAACCTCAGGTACTTACACATGTTTTCCCTTACCAATAATACGAAATTGCTTCTAACGTGGTTTCCTTACTATACAGAGAAACTCCGATCTACAAAACATCAAAAACGAGGGCAGCAGTAACTATGAATTCCAACATCATCCGAAAGCACTAATACAAAAGTCCTTTCTTTTTTGCTACGGTTGAACGACTAATTTTCATGCGAAATGATTTTAGTGCTACAAACAATATACGTAACAAACACTACAAACAATATTGTCGCTTTTGATTATATGTATATATGAATGTATATCACAAAATGGCATGACACTATCTACTTTGCTTACCCATTTCCATTCCAAACATCCATTAGCACATCTGACAGATAACATTCATTTACTATAAAACATGTTTGACAACTTACATAATGTCCATAGTCTGCCGTGCTTTGAAATAGGATATTAATGGAACAACACAAAAAGCACAAAAAAAAAGGAAAAAAAAATTTTCATTCTTATTTTAGTAAATGCCTATTATCTAACATTTTATCATGCATCATATGACAAATGTTAACAATAAAATGTAAAGATAAAGTAGCAAACAAAATTCATACGTCACTGTTTCCATTCAAAAACTTAAGGTAACAACATCTGACCCGCGCAATGCGGGGGTTCCTTCACTAGTTATATAGTAAATTTGGGATGGACACCTATGGAAATCACAAAATGACACATGTGACTTTGTGAAACAACATTAAACAAAGTAGAAAAGTTCTAACTGCTTAGGAATTCGTATATTAAGTAATCTACAACTAACAAATGAATGTGTTTAATTAGCAGTTATCAAAACGAAAATTATTATATACAAATGTATGAGTAATCGACAGATGGTTATAAAAATAAACTTTGCTATGATTATAATATCTTTAGAATCTTACAACCGTGTAAAATATAAGAAAAGAATCAAAGATAAGCAAAGCCTTGAAAAACGATTTTTCATTTTTTCTGGGTCATTGGCCCTGCCGCTCAACCATTATCCCCAAAAAATTTCTTTGATGCATTTGGACGTCGTCCTCTTCATTTAGCTTCGCGAGTGGGTCAACTCGAGTCTGACCATAAATGTCATTTTTTATGTCTTCAACTTTTCATCTCTTCCCAAATAATATCTTATTTTATTTGGTAATTTACTTAACTGATTTTGTATATGGTGTTGTTTGTTTATAATTTTGTTATTTTGTTATATTAATCTTAGAATTATTATAATTACGACTTTATAACTATTATTATATGTGTAATGCACAATGGTGTAATTTATGACCCAATCCGAAACTAAATTGTATTTTAGCTTGTTTATATTTCTTCCAAGTCAGACATATGTCAGTTAGAATCTTAGATTCCTCACTTATGATGCTCCATTATTTCAACCTGAATAAGTCTTTAATTTAATTATTTTTATCTTCTACTCCTAGCTCCATGGCTTCATTCTCTTCCTTAAAATCTAGTGTTAACTTAATCAAACAAAGTGACAGAGATAAGGTGTGTCGAGCATTTTGGATGTACTCTTGAAGCAAGGTCATGTGTATTGTTAAAGATCATCACTAGCCCAATAGAACAAATATTATCTAGAAGACTTTAGCTTGTTCTAGAACGCTCTAGAATATTCTAGAACATTATGGAAGACTATGGAAGACTCCAGAATATACCGGAAGAGTCTAGAATACTCTAGAACGACATGGAAGACCCTGGAAGGTTATAGATCATTCTAGAAGACACTGGAGCAACCTAGACCTCTCCAGAACATGGTAGAATATTCTAGAAACATATGGAAGCATATAAAGTATGTTAGATAGTTCTAGAGTTATCTAGTATGTAGTAAGTGTATACTAGTATCTAGAACCTTCCTAA